TTCAACTTCTCTTGCTGTAAACGTGATAAAAAAAATCCTGTCTGAAATTACCGAGTAGGCTAATGTTTCACAGTTTTGAGTTAAATTATTAAAGCAACATTAAAAACAACAAATAATACTGTCATTCTTCGGTTTGCTGTTATTTAAAGCAATTGCGCATCTCTACTAGATAAACGAAGTGTATATCAGTTGTTTTTAAATGAATGAATATTTGACACCAAATATTTCTCCAGCCTAATGCAAATAAATTACTTATTATACTTACTTTAATACATTCCGAAACGATTTAATGCTCGGTAATTGTTTATCGTGATGCTTTGCTTAAACATATGCGCAAATAATATATGCCATTTAATAAGTCTTACGTAGTTCTTTATTTTGACAAAAATTGCATATACAAAACGCGAACGAACCTAACTAGGTCAATTCAAACGTACAAAGAAGGAAAAAGAACTTCCTTTCTTCTACAAAATCCTTGTTTCTTGTGGGGGCTGGGCCAAAGGAAACCCGGTCTATCTACCGTCTAAATGTATTTCTTTGTGTGTTTAGAATTCTAGAACAAAAACTAACCTATGAATTATGCGTAAATTAAAACAGAAACGCCACATGAACATCATGTTCGAACAGTTTGTTTTGCTGGAGTAAGGTTTTCGGAAAAAATATATTCTTATTATATATGTCTAAATATTTCGCGTTCACAAAGAGATTAGAATATGGTTTTCGAAATGGTCATTTTTAATTTCATAAACTGACGCCTTTAAATTTAAAAACAAAACGCATTATATTTATGCTAACTACTCTTTCAAACTAATTTTTAACAGCACGAATTTAAAAAATCAGGTTATGTAACTTTAGTTAAATGTTACACTACACTCCAACGCTACCTAGTTGGTCCAGTCACTATATCCTTTCGGTTGTTAGTTGACAGAAAATCACAAAACTAAAAGGATCCATTCCGTAAATATATTTTACTGTCTTTGATCCCACGCTGTCAAACTTGCAGATTAAATTTTAAGGAAAACAACTAAATTGGTCATTACCCTAAATACTTATTCTGGCTTTATATGCATCTGGCAATAAGACGTCGGTTTAAATGACCGCCTTCACTTCGGTTTATCCCACAACGCACTGTGCTTTTCGTCACTCGAACTCTATGGTAGCGACTGGAATTACGTTTCTGCGTTGAACGTCACTGGCTCGCGCTCTGATGAATGTGCCGTGGCTGCAGATACTCCACGGGAGTCAACGGAGCGGGTTGGTACGTAGCTAGCGTGCTAGCAGCCCGCCTGACCTTGGTAGTTATTCTGTGCAGGGCTATACCCTGCTATCTTACGGATGCGCTGTGCATTCTGATTGGACGGCTTGATACGGTTTCTGCTAATTTCTGCAAGCTTCGCGAGAAGTCTTAGCTATTTATGTTTCCTTGTAATCAGAGGTTCACCTTTAGTGGGCTGCATTTGATATTGTAAAGAATTTTATTTTTTGAAAAACTTAACTCCATTCATTTGGAGTTGAATGGTTATTTAGTAATGATTGTGACTAATCAGTGAAATTATTTTCAATTGTTTGTGTCAATTTTTTTCCAACAAAGTTAAAGTTATAGAAATTTAAGTTATTTATTTATAAAAAATAAAATGTTCGGTAACATAAAATATATATTGGTGGGTAGGGCGATTTGAGCAAGAAGAAGTTATACCTCAAAGACTAAACGCAGGAGTTATGGCTTTGATTCATTCTGCATACTTAAAATGAACTTAAAATAATTGTTGTTTGCTGCCCTGTATGGTCTACATAATGTGTGAGTTTTTCAATTGGTGCCTCTGTTTTACATCCAAGGACAGCAGAACGATTAAGGTAAGGATCAACAATGGGTGTGGAAAAGGGTCAGGAGCTGGACACAAGGGAAGAACAATTGGGGACAGAGAAGATGCACTGGGTTACTGAGCTGTTTCCCCCTCGTTTCACTATGCTGGACCTGCTGGAGAACGCCGGAACCAGAGCAGGCATGGGATCCGTACAGATCCTGCCCACGGAGAGGCTGTCCACAGCACGGGGCAGTCACAGAAAGGAGATCTATCAATCGGCCCTGGAGGAGGTGCAGAAGAGGGAGGAGCAGAGACGGAGACAGCGGCTGGCTGACAGGATAGTCAGGAAGGACGAGGAGAAGCTGGAGATGCCCAGAGACATGGAGCACAGGGGCGTGGCCTCCACACAAACTCTGGCAGAGGAGAAGGAGGGGAGATATATCTGGAATCAGAAGGACCTGGTAACGCTGCGGTGGGCAGTCCGCGAAGTTGAGCGAGACCGGCGCAGGCTGAGTGCTCGGCTCCAGCTGGCCCTGGCGCAGGCTGAGGCGCAGCGGGGGGAGCGGAGGAGGCTGCAAGGGCTGCTGGACGAGCGGGAGGCACAGCTAGCCCTCGCCAGTCGCGAGGCTGCGTGGCAGAGCCAGCGCGTGGAAGCCCTACGGGTGCAGGCCCGCGAGAGGGAGGCGCACTTGGAGGCCTGGGCTGCGGAGCTGCGGGGGAAGGCGGAGGAGGTCAGCAAGGTGCGGGAACGACTGAGGAGGGCTGAGGAGGAGGCACGGGAGCTGAGGGCGGAGAAGGCGGACCTGGCCCACGAGCTCGAGGTGCTGAAGCGGCACCTGGAAGCGGAGAGGCAGGGGAGGGAGATGGCCGGCCGGGCAGAGCATGACACCGCTCTCCAGGAGCTGCAGGAGGAGCTGGAGGTGGCCCGGGCCGAGCTAGAGGCGGAGCGCCAGAGGCACGCACACAGCCGCATGGCCCTGGATGTCCTGCGCAGGCACTGTGATGGCCAGTCGGAGCCGTGGGAGCACAGGCTGGCCGACGAGATCACGTACATGTAGCTCGGCAGCGCCAGACACAGGTGAGAGCAGCCAGAAGACGCTCTGCCGGTTTCATCAGATCTGGCACTGTTAATGCAGTGAGGAGAAAAAAAGAAAAAAAACGTCATGTAGGTCATCTGCGCAATTAGAAGGGGAATTTTAAGATTAAGGACATGCAGGAACCAAATCCCAAAGCTTTTATCTGCCGTTTATCTGTCTGGAGACTCCCTGCGCGCTTCTTCTTTGATGCGTATCTGGGAATGGTGCAGGACCTGCTGCAGCCTGCCCCCAGTGATGTGAGACGGCGAGTTTCAGCCGTAGACAGGACTCGGGTTCGGAGATGGGCCAGACTCATGTGCTTCTGCATCCGCTGGAGTGACGCTAGACTGACTGTGGTTTAATGTGGGCTGTATTAGATTTCACTTTAGTTATTCTTTATTATGCCTGTAGCACTATCTTTGTAAAATGAGAACATACATGCTGGCTACAGCATTTGCTGGAATTAAAAGCAGTAAAAAAAAAATTAAAATGCGAAAAACATTTGATGTTTGTTATGGATTAATAAAGGCGCTGCAAAATAGTGACGCTAATTGCAGGTAACGTTTTTGTTATTCTGTGAAATTTAGCTCTAATTAAGCTGTTCTCACAACTTTCCTAGCTGATCTCCAGAAGTTGGCCATGTCCTGTTAGAGTTCAGATCTTTGCTGCGAGGCTTTGCAGTGTCTCAGCCATATGGAAATCATGATCACTAATTTGATTTCTAGAACTTAGTTTTCATGTATTTATGATCAAATGCCCAGTTAATATGTAGGCTGTTAATATAGTCAGATTGTAAAGATTCCCTCCCCCATGAACCTGTACTAGGTTAAGTGGTTGGAAAATGGATGGACTGGTGGACCTTTTCTCTAGAAATTATTTGTACTGTAGTTTATTTCAATAAATGACATCTGAAAACAAGACTTTTAAATTGCAGTTTTAATAGTCATTTCATTGTTGATTTGTGTATCCTTACAGAAAGCTCTCACTTAGAACAAAAGCAGGACCTTGTCCTGAATTATACTCCATGGCCGCTTGTCTTCTATAAAGTACAAACCTGCAGGTCCTCCCAGGGGAGGAAATGCCAAACCACATGTACGGCAAACTTTAAAACTGTGTCATCCTCACGTCCGTCTTTTACAAGGGCATAAGTTTCCATTCTGTAATCATTTAAAAGCGGTTTCCTCTGCTGCTTGACAAAGAAAACCGATCACAGGCAGGGAGAAAGCGCAGAAACACAGGACAGTGTTGCGCGAAAAGGAAGGAACGGGACAGAGGTGAGCTTGACTTTGATGATTGCTCATAACATTTATTTGGTTGCACTTTGCATCCGGTGCTTCCCCTGTGCAAACATTCAGGGCTTCACTGAAATATTAAAAATATAAAAGGATGTTCATTTAAAGTGTTTTTATAAAGGAGGAAAATGGAAAAACACTACATTTAATCTTCAGCATACATACTTCTGCTTTTAACTAGGATAAAACATTTTAATAATAAATCAGACAATTCTGAGGTATATAGAGACAGCCTTGTGCAAACAGGTGACAAAGAAATCTTAAGACACCAGTTCAGCAAAACTATTCTCCCCAGTCTGTGTCTTGCACAAACAGATTAAGGCGCTGCGGATCGACGTACTTAAAGCAGGAGTCTAGATTGGCAGTAAGCTGAGTGGGAGAGTCTCCCAGGGTCCAGCACGCACTTCAGGAGTTTAGGGAAGTGCAGTGCAGGCAGTGCTGACCACAAACCCTGAACAGGAGATTCACAACTACGAGAGGGACCTACTCAGGCTCAGAGCAAAGGACTGAAAGCCATAGTGAAACTGAGCGGGGGCGAGAGAGACTACAGCTCACGGTGCTGTTTTCAGCTAAAAGCATTCATATCAGCACTCTCAACTGCAGCTCCTGGCCTCCAGCATCATAGCTACTAATAGATGTTACTGGTATTGACACACATTCCATTGGCATTATGCGGACGGACACAGAACTACTGCTATACCTCTGATAAAACTTGTAATAAAATCCTTAGACAAAAATACAACTGCTTTTCCAAGCTACGCATAGCACAACTGTGTACATTGTGAATCTCGTACTTTCTTTACAAAAGCATCCACGGGGGGGGGGGGGGGAAAGGAGCCCTCTTAAATAATAATACACCAGTCCATATATTACGGAATGACACCTCAAATGCAGCACGACATTAGAGTGTAGGGTCACTATAGAATGACCCATCAGGAATGAAAAGACCTCACGTTTAATCCCACTCCCTTCAACGACAGCATCTGAGAGAATCTTAACAAGGGTTTAAAATTCACCACTGTCCGCCCCTCTGTTCCTCAGGCGACCTGCTCTGGGATTTTACATGTATCTAGGTTTGCTGTGTCCTGTGGAATTGTCACTCAATTCCATTAGGAGGTCACAACAAACTCATGAGAAAAGATGATTAGAGGGAGGCTAGGCTGGTGCCCTATTATTGAAAAATAGAACAAATACAGATGCAGAATGCAGGCCAGAGCAGTATGGTATTGTATATCTCTTTAGCTGCTCGACGAGCCGTATATCACCCTCGCTCCATACTGTTAATTCGTGATGTACGGAGGGAAACAACCCGACTGAAAATGCTCAGGGGGCAGAGGAACATGGGGCAGGGAAGGTGTGCCGTTTCCCCCACATCAAAGGCCAGGTGTTAGATGTACGCCTTTTTTCTTCTGACTCATAACACGTTTTCCTGGTTCATCCCCCACTCCCACCCCAGACATGATCATCCCTCAACATCTACGCATCTTCCTGCGCTTGCGGCCTCTTCAGGTCCCGAATCTGCTTGATCAGGTAGTTCTTCTCATCACAGAACTGTTCGTCCTCAGAGCGGTCCGTCTGGAAGTGGCCCAGGAACTCCACCAGCTTGGTCTGGTTCTTCAGCAGGATGTCCAGAACCGGCTGTGTCTTGTTGGGGTTGGCCACGAACACCTAAACGCAGAGGCAGGGCTGATGACTTAATCTCTAAGCGCGTGCCCAATAGAACGTCAAAAATCAACACTCAGACGGTAAGGCCTCCTGGTCACCGAGTGAGACTGGCAATAGGATGGCATCTGACCTTGAAGACATGGAAGGCCTCAAACTGGATGTTGCGGCTGTTGTCTCTCAGCAGGTTCATCATGAGCTTCAGGTTCTCAGCTCGGCTGATGTAGTTGGTCATGACTGTGAAGTTGTGTCGGTCTAACAGGAGTTCACCCAGGAGCTGCACGCAGACTTAGTGTTAAATAAATCACTCGTTCTCAGCTAAAAGCAGCTGCAGACGGTGAAGGCAACACAGCAGCAATGTTAGAATAACCATGCACGCTGCTCTAGAGGAGAGATGACTAATGAAATAGAATAAAATAGACTCCATCTGCTTTCTGAAAACTCACCATCAGTGCTTCTATGTGACAAACAGAATACCGTGTCAAAGCCAATAAGGCCCAAAAGCCACAACCTGAAGTTAAAGAAATTCTTAACATATACAAGTGTTTTTGGTGAAAAAAGAGTATAGTTTTACAGGCAAGACACAGGACTCTACCTTCAAAGACTGACGTTTGGTGACATAATTATCTGAATGCAAGAGCTTCTCGTATTCTGTAAACACCTAAACAGGAAAAAAAACCAAAAAGCACATCCCATTAATATTATCACTTTTAACATCAGATGTACACAATTAAGAATTACTGCCACTGTTCTTACTCTGTCATAATTTGTCTCCAAGAACTCTGCACACATTATCTTGTGCCTTGTAAGTAGATCCTGAAAGGGAAAAGAACGCATTACAAACAACACTAACTGATGTCACAAAATTATGTTTCTGAAGCCTATTGAAATGGTTACACCGCACAGCTGCATTATGGGTAATCACTTATTAGAAGTGCATATCGGTTTAATTATAAAAAACAAGAAGCTCTTAAAAGACCAAGTACAGAAGGTGTAATCTTTCTGAGCCAGACATTTTCGTCTGCACAGGCTCCATTTTAAATGGTGGTTGTACTTCCTCAAATAAATAGTTTACATTTAAATAACATACCCATAGTTTAACCTATCAATACAGTTTAATTTTTAAGTACTTATATTTTTCACATTTAAGATACCTAATACTTTCAACCTTTAACTTCATTTCCATCTATGCATCTGGATATTTCACCAGAGATGTTAACTACCCTGCTTAAAGGTACAAAAGCTTGGCTCTCAGCTGAAATCCTATCATTCTTCCCCAGTTTACTTACATTCACTATTTATGTTTGTTCCACTATTACATCCCATGCTGCGTTTGACTGAGTACACAGTCTATTGTAAAAAGTAGGGCTTGAATATATGGACCAAAAACTCATCTATTTACATCTATTTTCTGCAACCGCTTATCCTGTCTGGAGGGGTTTGGAGCCTATCAAGGAAGCTACAGGCACGAGGCAGGGAACAACCCAGGATGAGGGGCCAACCCATCGCAGAGCACATTCACACACCATTCACTCACACACCTATGGGCAATTTGGGAACTCCAATTAACCTCAGCATGTTCTTGGACTGTGGGGGTGTGGCGACCAAAATCCCTGCAAGAAACCCCACAACATCACGAGGAGAAGATGCAAACTCCCCCCACATGGAGCCATGGCAAAGACTTTAATCCAGGTCCCTGAGGTGTGAGGGCAGAGTGCTATCCACTGCACCACCCATGTCGCCCTGGACCAAAAACCATATCTCGGTATTTTTTAGGCAGAACAGTGACACACGACATACATTTCAGTATTTTTTTATGAAGTGAGCTAAATGTTCAGTATTACGTCAAAGCCTCGTGAGATATTACAAACACCTATTAAACAGTCTCAGTTTATGACATTGCTCTCAAAACAGAAGGTGAATGTTTAGGGACAAAAAAATCTAAATTTAAAACCTATTTGGCAAATGGCTCTAAAAGTAGAAGCCTGCAACTAGTGAAAGTGCACTTAACTGGTAAGACCCTAATTTTAAGGTATTAGCCTTCAATAAAATAAAACAAATACTGCAAATTACAATATTGTTAACCTCTGAGCCCCCTGGCATTTCACTTAAAATAAAATTAACCAAGCAACAACCTCTCTCCTCCATCAACTTCCCCAAGAGACACTAACTGAATATTTTGATTCTAGCTATGATTTCTGGGATTTGGTGCAACGCCACAACAGCAGCTCTCCCATCACTAACACATGAAGGAAAACCTCAGGTCTCTATTAAAAAGCTCATGCCATTTTAATGCACAATAAAAGTATATCGATATAAACGGTACTGTCTCATGCCATAGAAATCCCATAATGCCGCAAAAAATATGATCAAGGGGCGAAAAGTTTTATATATACAAATGTGTGTGTGTGTCTATATATATATATGGCCCTTGATCATTGCTTTTAAAATTTTCTGTTCTGTTATGATCCAATTATATTTAATAACAGCAATCATCCAAAAAGCAAATACAAGTAAGTATCCCCCGCTTTACGATTGTTCGCTTAACGCCACTTGGTTTTTACAAAAGACCTATAGTCTTTTAACTGAGTACACAGTCTAGCCCTATTTTCACCAACCAAAATAAATCTGAAGAGGATTGCTGCTTTTATGAAAAGGAGAAAGAAGACAAGCGAAAATAGTATTTGTTTATCAGCGAGCCGATTGTAGATGTAGAGTCAAGCTCTGCATAACGATGTCTCGTTCCATGCCGGACCTCATATATGACAATTATAACAGAACAGAAAAATTCCTATAGCCTAGAGCTACACATTAATCAAGTGTTTGTGGTGATGCTGATGTAAACATGCCTACATCCTCACAGTTGTATACAAGTATAGCACATACAATCCTTGACAATGATAACCTATGTTACTGGTTTTTGAATTTATTATACGGTATTTTTTATCGTTATTTATGCTATACTACGTAGTCTAGGTGTGTAGCAGGCTACACCGTCTAGGCTTGTGTAAGAACATTCTACGATGTTCTCACAATGACGAAAACAGCTAACGAGACATTTCTCTGAACGTATCCCTGTTAAGTGATGCATGACAATTTATTCTGGTAAGTGAAACATCCCTATACACTTATAATTCCTACTTTATATAGGCTATGTAGTATCATATCATTCCTGTTTTTTCTATATGTTAGTGTTATTTTAGGTTGTGTGTGTTACTTGGGATGATTTAGGAGGCTGTCTTTTTCGCCTGGGAATGCTCACAAATTTGCTTTTTTGCTTTATGCCGTTTCAGCTTACAAAAGGTTTTACAGGAAAGCCCTACTTTCGTAAAGGGGGGGTACCTGTAAATATCTCCTAGGGGCGTGGCTACGGATCATCTGCTTATCCATGGCTTCGCCACCCACCCATCAACAACTTTTACAGTCGCCTAGGGCCGGCCAGTATACAGAATTGTCACAGTATATTGATACATTTTCAAAATGAGACACAGGATGGTGCAATACCATTAATATCAATACCTTTTATTTGGTTAAAATGAAAAATTGAAAAATGATCCTTCCTGTAATCAACGTGAGAGCTTCAGTCGTGACGTTGCACAGACTCCTAGAATTCACAGTTAAAATCAATTCATCTTGTCTCACAGGGAAGTTGATAAAGGCGAAGAATTTGTACTTGTTTCAATTTGCTTTTAAAACATTCCTGAATGGCTCACAGGCTAAATATACCGCATTTGCTTTATTTGTCATTTACAGTTGTAAAATGCTGCCCTTAATTTTCCGCAAATATTTTTAATAATTTGTAAAGAGGATGCTTTAAAAAACTACCGTAAACTAGTTCATTTGAAAAACTGAAAGTTTTCACTTTATCTAACGACTAATGCATTATACGTATATACAGAGCCTGCTGTGGGGGCGGGTTTTTGGGGTGACCTCTCAATCAGCCAATAACAGTTGGTCCCCAGGACTGGAGTTAAGAACCACTGCTTTATTATTGGCTGCTTCAGAAGTCATCCCAAAAACCCGCAACCACAGCGACTCTCTATGGATCAGGTCTAAACAGCGAAAACTGTCACCTGCTTGCTCTCACATACAGATGGTATTCTGTAAACATACAGATACTTGTGCACTTCACTTTGGAACAGCGATTGTATGCTTACTGTTTACTCATGTAGGCACAAGGTGATGATTGCTGTGTGCATTTTAATCAGGGCTCATTTCACAAAACAGACACTTCATGCATTAATTACTCGTTTTAAAAAGTGCCCCCAGAATTTGGTAAATGTCCCCATTTTTAGACAGGTGGGGTAAAAAATGTAAAATATTTTTAAAATTTCCTACACTGTATACCTCCCAACCCTGGTAACAAGTATGTGTAAAATTGTCATGTATGCATACTTAAAATGCCTTGAAAGTTATATAATATACCTGAGCACACCCACCAAGACAAATTCCTTGTATGTTTAATAGAGACCTACTTGGCCAATAAAGATCTTTCTTCTTTGAGATTAAGCACCAGGCTTAAAAATACGAAAGCTGGGACCTCTAACCTTTTTTGTTGTTTTAACTGAATCACTTAAGTTACTGCTACCTCAAGGGTCCAACAGAGAGGCCTGTCTTTGTACTATATTCTGAGTCCATTTCCTTATCTGCTGCCAGCACCTTCTACTGGCGAACGGCTCACCTTGAAAGAGGCGAAGGCATCTGAAGCCACGTCGAAGGTGGAGAGCTCCACGTAGCGGAAGAAGCAGTAGAAGTCCTCGGAGAAGAGCACGCTTCGGGCCAGGGGCTCATGACGAAGGCACTCCCTCAGCATCATGCCACAGTTCAGAGCCACCTCCGGTTTCTCGTACCTGCGGCAAGGCTGGGCTGGTCAGAGGCCTCCTCGGGACACCCATGCGTATGCGTGCACAGAAACGTCGTACGATATACCGATATCGGTATCACCTCATGATACCAAAAAATCTAAATGCTATAAATTCTGCAAATTTTGATACTTAAGAAATTACATCGCATAGTGGAGGTGCCAAATCTGCACTTTGGGGAAGAGAAACAGCCGTTTTCACCCATTTAACAAACAGAACAAACAAATGTTTAATCTACTGTATTATCAATGAGGTTTTGTGACAGCTGAGGTAGGCTTGGACAGTATGTGATTTTTCATACCATCCAAACAATCAACTGTGTTATGTGGTATTTTATGGTATTTTCAAAAGCAGTGTTCCAGTATTTTGAAGTCTTGGCAGTAAAACTTGCTGAGCGGCTAGTCTTGTTGTTGAGATTTCAAAATTCTATGGTATAACATAATACCGCCCCAAGCTCAGGTTGAAGCCAAATTGATATCAGAATCTATGTATTGAATGGAGCTGAATTAATCTACGGATATTTAATTGATAATGTTAAAACCATATTATAGGCTATTGCCGCTTGGTTCATAAATAGGCTTGTTTATTTCATTCAATCATTTTCTGAGCAATATACATGTATCCATCGACTTATGCCCGGGATTTGTCCCAGTAATGAGGACCCAAGTCAATCTGGACATCTCTTGATTATTGTACAAGAGAGGTAAAATACACTGTATAATATAAAACATACAATATTACACACACTTAACTAAACCTCTATAGTGGTAATACAATTGGTTTGTTTTAGTTCTTGCCGCATGCCACAAACGTGGCAAAATATGTCCGCTAACATCTACTATGTCTGCCTTGGATGCCTCTCAAACAGTGAAACGTGTGAAGTACTGCAGAGAGTACCAGCGTCACACATCTGGCAGTGTGGTGTCGCGGCTAAAGTTATGAGAAATGACAGGTGGGTAACCACAGTTCAGCGAGAACATGGATGTAGCGGTGAGGTGTCGACACCACAAACGTCCCGCAAACGTCCCTGCTCCCCAGCGGCGGTGGGCTTAGCACAGCACGTTCTCACCCCTTCAGCAGCATGAAGAGGATCTGTGGGTGGGAGGAGATGTACTCCACGGTGGGCGTGCGGGTGCCGATCTGCCGGCGTACCACGTTGCTGAACAGCTGCACCACGTCCTTCTTCCCCTGGCCCGTGAGGAGGAGAAATGATCAGAGTCGGCTTTGATGGTGCGCGAGTCCACCACATTCGGTCCAATTACATATTTCCACTGCTTTCATGTAGTCCCTCTTTCCGAATCAGCCACCTGCACACCTGAGCCAGGTAACAAAGCACTTGATAATTAGCCTAGCTGCAGTCACAGGTCCAGGCAGAAAGCGGATTAAGATCAGATGAACGTCTTGCATATACACCAAACTTCCATGGTTTGAAACAAGTTCCAAAACGACAGCGCAAAATAATCGCATGCCTTACATATCTTGAAGAGAGTCAATCCTTGTAAAGGCACAAGGCAGATGCCTCCCCCCCCCATCCCTAAAAGGAAAACGAGCGAAGGTTCCAGACCTCAAAATCGATTCTCTGCAAGTTGGCGATGAGCGCGATCAGCAAATTGGTGTTGTACAGCTCTTGGGCCAGCTGAGCCACAGCTTCCGTCTGAGGCTCCTTGTCTCCCGTGCCACACAGCACCTCCTTCAGGGAGGACAGGCTCTTGGACACCTCCTCCGACACCTGCACAAAGTGGTGGGGTGCGTCACCGCATGGCACGCGTGGCAGCTATCATTCCGTCTCTGGGACACTGCAAGGTCATGAGAGGAGAAGCCACTTCTGGGCTGGACTTGTGACCAGGACTAAATGCTCGGGGCGCAGGAACAGACTCGCTGCAGAATGCGCAACATTTACACTGTGCAACCTGCATGACATTTTGGCATCAGTAAAGTGATGACAAAAATAGCTAACAGAATACAAAGGAAGTTATAGATAAGTTTATCGGTAAAAGGAGCTGAAGAGAAATGTAAACAGACAGCTAACATAACAGCTTACCACTGATAACAAAGATGGGGGGGGGGGGGGGGTGCACCATGTCATTCAAAATCAGAGGATTCCTGTCGAGCAGGAACACCACAAAGCACAGGAATATGGACATCAGAAAGCCCATTTTCTGCCCTGGGGTGCTCACCCCAGCCAACCCATCACACACCTTCTCGCACTTCTTGCTCTCAGAGGCCTCCAGCTTTTCCAGGTAGGCCACATTCTCCTTCAGACTCTTCACAATGTCTGCAGGACTCTTCTGGGACTTCCCAAAGGGGAACGGCATGGTGGGCTTGGTGGGGGGCTTGCAAAAGCTGGCTACTTTCTGGGGATCACACAGACCAAAATGAGATGGTGAACTTACAGTGCTGGGCAAAAGTCTTCATGTAAAACTAAGTGTTTCAGCTTAGCCATTTCAAAACCTCTCCTAGAATCACCCCAGGATTTGCAGCAACCATCCAATATGCCCATGTATTTTGACTTGACCACTAACCCACCTTTTCTGGATAATCAATAACTCAATAGTTATTGATAGTTCAATAATAAGTCAGTGTTTGCCAAACCAGTCCACATTTCAGACTGGACAGATCTACAATTTTCCTTTATCCCAGTTACCAGCACACCTGTAAGGTATTTAGAGTTCCTGATTGCTTGGGTCAGGGGTTCTGAGAAAAAGTGTCTATTTACTTGGCATATACAGCTATTCCCAACCGCCTGTATATATTAAATCATGCCTATACAATGTAAATTCTACGTAAAAAGAATACAGTCGTTGTTTGCACACCAATCTGAAATTGTGCATTTTGGTTAGTTTTAAGCCTTTTTAGAATTTTTTTTGAACTGCGATCATTCAAAACCACGTACAAAAATTGCGTAAGATGCAGGCTGACTGTACCGAATATTGACTAAAAAATGGACAGGAAGAAAAGGCAAAATATCAATAACTAAAGTAATTACCTTTGCATTGTGACAGAAAGACTAAAAGTTCAAGGTACTGCCATTTTATTTACCAAACAAAATCGAATTGAATTGTGAGGTCCCTGGAGATTCCCACCCCTAGTTCTCAGCACTCTGAACAGAAAAATAAAGAGGTGCTGGTACTGCGTACTGGTGAGTACCAGCCCAGTACATGCACCGTTAGTCCGGGTATATAACACTGTGTTTAGCTAAATAGTGCAACATGAATAATTACATTAAATCCTGCATTCTGCTTTAAATAATTAATGCCTGTATTTCCATTTCACCAGCTGAAAGGTCTCTGAAGGGAGGTGCACCCATCATACAGACAATATAATAGCAACATATGCAACACAACGCAGCATATGCAAAACTACAAATATTTAAAAGATTAATTCCCTACCAAATGTTAGCTAGCAAAGTTTGAAACGAATGGGGGCTAAAAGAAAATGTCCACAAAAAGTTACTGTGGTACTTTGTTTGGCTCTGAGTTTCCTATGCACCAAACCAAGGTCCATATCACCCAAGTTTTAGATCTACCAAAAAACTAGTCAACAATTGGTTTGAAAGGGAAGGCAAGGGAAAGGAAAAACTACATTAATTTACAGGAAGTGTGATCTTATCTGATGACATCAGAAGGCAGAGAGAAGAGTGAGTTGCCAGCTCAATGCAGCCCCCCCCCCATCTCACCTAATCTCCACAACCACATGGGCAGACCTGCTCCTTTTTGCATATCCTGCCATGAAAATGACCACTTTACAGCGTGTTGCCCTTCACCTGTAACGGCTCATTTGCATTTTTCCTTGGTACTACTTGCCAACTCCTGAATTGTTTTCTGATCCGTCAGCCAGTCCCTGAGCATGGGGTCAATGACAGCGAGTAAACACTGAGAGAGGACCTGCCAGTACAACTAACTTACTTCCTCTTCATATAAAAAGAGAGCTGACAGTACCTTAAGTGTATCCTTATTTACTTTTCCCCCAAGTCCAATAGGACTGAATTACATCCACGGGAGATGTGTAGCATAAATTAAACCTTAGACATGTTTATGGTTATCTAACGTGTACCCGGCTATTAAAGTGACCGGCGACCGTTGGGGAGGGGTGTAATCCCTGAACTGAATTGAGGACTACACAATATCTCCAGACTCAGGAGGTAATATGCAGACGTTTTTATTAAAGGCAAATCATATAGGAATGAAATGAGCTCTGCCACGGCTCAGATTCCCCATCTCCTGGTACGTGTAGGTAAGCAGTTCACAGTAAAAACGACATTATCAGTCAAATGCAAATATTAATATCCGATCGAGTACAAAAAAAAACTTTAGGTGCATAACAGGTAGAGCATATAAATAACACAGGTATTAAACAACACAGAGCTGCCAATCAATGGTAACACCATAAAAGTCAGTTGGCTACAATGGCGTTCGGCCTTAAAAAACGTTTAATTTTCACAAAGTAACGCGGCAAGGGGCAATACCGGTGTGGGGGAAACTACACCGTCACCGGGTGGCACACACGACTGGGCGACGTAGCTCCCCAAAGGGGTATCTGGAGTCGCCTGACTGTGCCACTTATAGCGTAAAAAGAGACGCATAAAATACAATCAACAGGCTGTCAGACAGATCAGCGTAAAGGAACGACGAAATGCAGGCGCTCGCGCCGCGCTTCACGTTAGCTAGCTTACTTTTTAACGTCTAGATACTTAGTATTAAAAGTTGCCTAACCAATTTATTATGTCACAGCCTGTGTTTTGTACAGTTCACAACACGGCGCGCACACACGAATACAATGACGGTCTAATTATGAAATGTATTTTTTTCGATAACATCGCAAAGAAAAACGTAAGTTCCTTGTTAGGCAACAACGTGAGACGGGTAACGCTACTCACCGAACTCGGAACACAAGCTAGGCGGCTGACCGTGACGGGGCCAGCCAGCTAGCGGAGGTACGCTTAAAAGGAAATATGGGCTTAGCTAGGTGCTCATGTCGGAATTAGACTCGAGTATTTCTGTGGAGGAAATGAAGAAAGAAAAAAACTTGCTAGTCCGGCAATGGTGCGATTATTACCATCTACCTCATACACATTGCCTACCTACTCTGCCGGGGCGCAAAGCGCAAGCCAGCCATTGGCCAGCCACGGTTTGACGGACGTCTCTTCCAGCCAATCGCAGACGACAACAAGCGCGCAGACAGTATTCAGGAAAGAAAACTGACAACGTACACATCATGTGTGTACATCAAAATCACAAAACAAACGAAGATATAAGGGTACGGGAAATTTCCAATGATTTTCCTATGTATTCTTAAGATTTAAGAAAATCTAAAGATTTATATAAATACTAAAGACGATATCCCGTTATAGTTTAAAGCAGAATTTTATCTTAAGTGTTATCTGAGTTAATATATACCAATTAAATGTTTGAACTTAATGTAAATCATCGGGATGTGCGGTCTTTTGATATAACTATACATTTTAAGTATGCATAAATAATGTCAATATATGCTCACAGACGCTTATGCACATTTTTATTTGACCATTAATTCGATTCACTTAATCATTAAAAAATATTTAGATTGGTCCCTTTCCAAATAAGTAGAAAAATGTGTATGAACGATTCTAAAGAGTATATGTACTATCGTAAAGCATGTTATCATAGTAGTGTAACGATTAAAAAAATCCGCCGAGATACCATCAGCATTTTTATGTAGATTTTGTAAATCACAATATAATGGCGGGTTTGGAATGACACTGGACAAACATCCAGATATATCACATCAGCACCAAAAAAAGAATTATAAAAACTCGTAATTTTTTATACCGATCGACTGATCTCCTTTCGTTTTCAACATGTCGTAGGTTCTTCCGCCTCAAAGTACGTTTCCTGTTAATTAAAATAAATACTTTGCAACTTTTTAGTCTCAGGGAAAAAAATGCAACAGCGTATAATATTTCCTCCGTTAACAGCATTTACAAAAAAAAAATGATCACGCAGAGCTTTTGCACCGCGTTGTATCTTACGGGAAGAAGGCAGTGCGTATGCGTAAGGGGCGTGAATTTGGAGGATCTGGCAAACAAACGTGCTTTTTTTGCAGTGCGCAACGTCATGCGAATGAGACGCAGTGGGGAAACGGAGAATCCGCAAGCGCTTCCATCGCTGTGGGAGGAAGCAAAAAAACATCCGTACGCACTTTTCTAATACCATTTCCCCTCATCCGGCGGAGCGGCTTGACTGCAACCCACTGAGACGGGTAAGAGATATTCGTGCGTCGCTATTAAGCTGGGAATATCACGGAGGATGGCGGCCACGGGAATAGCAGACGGACTTGTCCACAAAAAAAGTGATCCCCCTCCTCCTCTGCTTTTCCCCCCCGATGCGATCATGTACCCGTCGGTAGCGCGTGGCGCGTCCGCGTCCCGGGCGGGCAAATCGGCTGCGCCACGGCCGCTCGCTGGGGGTAAATGCACCCGAATGAATGAGATGCGGCGCCCGCATCGCAAAACTCTCTTAGAAAACTCTCCGATTTTTTTTCCGGCAGCCTCCACGGCCTCTTCTTTCTCCGGCCAGGGGCCTCGTGGGGTGTTCGCGTTAAGCTGGAATCATTATTAAAACAAAAAAAAACACTGGATGCTCTTCTCAGGAGAGGCACACCCCCCTTTTTGTAAGGAAAATTGACATTGAAAGGGAAAGGCGAGCGCAAAGCGACGCCGCGAATGAGCGCCCCGCCAAACGTGCATTCCTGCTATGTTGTGAGCGCGCTTCATGCGGAGCCGCTCCGTCGTTTCGTGGGTCCATGTGGCATTAAAACACGCTTCCCCGGGGGACTTTCGCTCTGCGCCTCCTTGTTTACTCCACTTGGCAGGCTGCTTTGCACGTTGAGCCGCGTTTCTGGTGGCGCTGCCGCGGACAGCTGCTAATGCTAAGCCAGGTCGTGTTTATTCTTCCTGCGGCTGTGCTTAAGTGTGCTCGCATCACATCCACACCGGCATTATGCGTCTAATAATTCTAATAATGATAACATCCATGGTTAGAGGCTCGTTTTTATTTTACATTAATTCTTAGGTTGTTGAATTTGTGTTTTCGTTACTGTGACCAGCTTGCCAGCTATTTATAGAAGCTATTTTTTGTTAGAAAAAACATTTTCATATAATTCTCAATAATTATGAAATTTCTTAGTTTTATTAATTATTTTTTGCTTACAAGGCCTAGTAATATGTCAGTCGACGTGATATTTTGTCCCATTCTTTTGAAATAATGCGATGTAATTTCATCAGAATTTTTACTATAACACACACAACTTCACTTTACAAAAGTGTGTGTGCGTATAAATGCATATATACACATATATATATTTATTTATATCCCATGTGGAAGGCAAGTGGAAGTCAGGAACACAGTTTTACTAAAAAAATGTGTTAAAAATGCACTCCTAACACACACAGGTCACCAGCTGAACCCCGCTGGAGTGGTTCTCTGTCACGGTGTCCCCTCTCCCTCTCTCCATGTCCCTCTGTTATGGAGCAGGTCTGGGGCTCTCCCAACATCCAGTAAAATAAAAATCTTTTTATACTGCTCCAAAGTTCATCCCCGATCCTTGCATAAATGCACCTAGTCTTTAACCTTGTTTTATATATTTTTTTCTAATTTCTACCAGAAACAACAGCTGTCTCACTCATTGAGATGGGCGTCAGAGTTTAAAACACAAGACACATGTGTCCTCATTGTGGGTGTAACCCCCCCCACCTTCTGAGCTGGCCACCTTTCAGTCCCAGTCCCAGTCTTCCTAGTGCCTGTAATGTCACAGCAGAGACTTCAGAGATGACACCTTACATTGTACTGACAGTTAGCAATACCTGAGACGACACCTTCTGCCCCCCCCCCAACCAATGCCATGTTCCCAGACCCCGTGGACTGTTCCGGGAGGGGTGTGTCACTCCACCTTTGACGGGAGGAACACAGACATTGCGGAACTCAAGCTGTCTGTTGGCTGTCAGTCCCTTCACCTGACACTTGAAATTTTAACTCAATAATTGAAATCACAAAAAAATATAGAAAGGTTCACCGAATCTAGCCATCTTAGTGAATACTAATTTATCAATAATATTTTGCTGTTTGACTGCGCAGAAAACTTTCTCTGGTACATTATCTACTTTTTTAAAGACTTCTAATTCTTCCGTGTGGGTAGTTGAAACATCTTCTGTCGAAGGAGAACAAAATGGTCATTTTGGTCGAGGTGACAGTTATAGGATCCCCTCTTTTCACCTGGTATCATGATGCTCTCGGTGGTGAAGGTGCGTCGGTCTGAATGTAACCAGATTGGGGCGTACTGGCAGACGTGACCTCTGAATGCAGAATGTCAAAGGCTCAATTCCATCCATCCATCTTCCGAAACTGCTTATCCTATTCAGGGTCGCGGGCAAGGCAGGGAACAACCCAGGATGGAGCGTCAACCAGGCTCAAATCCAGGAGCTGCTGCTGTACCCCAGAGAAACCCCCAGAAACAACTGAGGCAGAGAAATATCTGCATTGCCAGGCAGGGCAGTTTCAGAAATGTACCAGGGTGCGTGTGGAAAAACCTCTGTAGTCATGGTAACGTTAGCCCTGTACGCTGTTTCGGACCAAGGCCTCTGCTGGGCCCATTGGTTAATGGAAGACAGGCGGGGCTGATGATCTCCCTGCTCTCTGTCCCCCTCCCAGGACGGCGCTCGGTCATGTCTGGCTCGTCGGGGCCGAAGCGGGGCGCGCCCGCGCGGCTGCGGAAGTGTGCCTTCTGCAGGAGCAACCGGGACAAGGAATGCGGCCAGCTGCTAGTGTCGGACAACCAGAAGGTGGCGGCCCACCACAAGTGCATGGTGAGGGGAGGACGTTGCTGTGGTTACTTGAGGGAAGGTCTTTAGTTTACTCTCCTGCCAGGCTGTAGAACGGAGTCTCCAATTCCTGGAGGGCCAGAATCCGGTGCAGTTTGCAGTTTTCTATGCTCAGACACACCTACTCAACCTGGTAATTCGCTGATTAAGATGTGTTCGAGCAGGGAGATCTGCAAACTGTGTTGGATTCCGGGCCCTCCAGGACCGGAATTGGGGAACCCTGCTGTAGAGATTGAGGCTGTGAAGATGAGGAGGATGAAGTCGCTGGGCCTTGGTCTTTGGATCTGTGCCTGTGTACAGAAGGTCGTAGGTTCAAATCCCCTGGTTGCCAGAGTAATCATACCAGTGCTGCGTCCATGAGCAGAGCCATTAACCCAGACTTGCTCCTGGGGTCCTGGCTGATCCTGCTGCCCCACCCTGAATATCCCTATTTATATATCGCTTTGGAGAAATGAATCTGCTAAATAGCTGAGAGTTAAATTAACAGCGGCCTTCCCCTCCAGCTCTTCTCTTCTGCCTTGGTTACCTCTCACTCAGAGAGCGAGAACATCGGGGGCTTTTCCGTGGAGGACGTCAAGAAGGAGATCAAGAGGGGCAACAAGCTGGTGAGTAGGGTGGCTCAGGTCCCGCCTCATCTTCTGCCTGCCTGTAGGGGGCAGTGTTGTCCATTTATATTTTTTTTGGACAGGCTGTCATGCCTGATGCTTGGGCCAGCTGCAGAACTGAAATTGAAGGTCCAACAAATTCTGACAACCAGAGTGTTTTCTCCTCTAGTAATGTTCTCTTCTTCCATTTGTTTTATTTTCTTCTAATTCTTTTTTTCTGCATTTTATTTTTTTCCCATGGTACTTATTTATGTGTACACCAGACACTATTATCTATAATCGTTTGACCTTTATCTCCTGAGGCTGCTTAACTTACAGCATCGACGCGACAGATCGGTTGCCTCCGAGGGATTTGAACGGCCCGCGGTATTTTGACAGCATGTCACGCCCCCCTGCTGCCCATCTCCATTATCGTCCTCACGCAGATGTGTTCCTCCTGTCACCGCCCCGGGGCCACCATAGGCTGCGACGTGAAGACCTGCAGGAGAACGTACCACTTCTACTGCGCCCTGTGGGACAAGGCGCAGGTGAAGGAAAACCCATCACAGGGGATCTACCTGTAAGTGTTGCGCTCCCAGTGAGCCATCTGCTCCCTCATACAGTCGCACTGGCCTCCCAGGAATCCCGGGGTCCTTCCGCTCAGCAGTTACATCAGTTATCCTGCGACAGGGCCTGTTGGGTGGCTGCGCACTTTGCCTTTAAGACACTGCCTTTAAGACACTGCCTTTAAGAAAACCCCAGTAGACAAGTGTCTTTTAGAAATGCGCGTTTGCCGCACAGCAGCTGTGTGGAAGTATGTGTTATATGGGGGGGGGTGGTTGTCTGTTTCTCACCTCATCTCCCCGCTTTTCTCACGTTGTCTTTCCTCCGCAGTGTCTACTGTCGTAAGCACCGCGATGCCACACAGGACTCCAGCGAAGGTACCTGCTTTGGCAGCTGCACCCTAGGGCGTGTTGGGGGGGGGGGGGGGGACACCCAGAAACAACAAACCCCCCCCCGGACAGGTTTAACAGCTTAATAAGATCCTCAAAATACACGCGTAGTTGTTTGCTGTTACCTGGGCCGACGAGGCAGAGATTTTCAGTCCAGGTTGAATTCCACACCTTCAGAGCTAAAGTTCTTGGTAAGAACATGGATGAAGAACAAACATCTCCTTGTCTCCATCCATTTAGGATTATTTGGCGGGGGGGGGTGTATTGGCCAGTTTTAATTATTGGTGTTGTGGCTCAACCAGTGTGATCGGAAGGTCACCGGTTCAAATCCCCGAGTCGGCAGAGTGAATTTCACCTTTGGGCCCCTGAGCGAGGCCCTTGGTTCCCGGGCTCCAGGGGCTGCCTGACCCTGCTGTCAGCTGTACGCCGTTTTGGAAAAAAGCATCTGCAAAGGAAATTGTAAACTAATTTTAATTGTGTCCGCTGTTAACGGTAGAAAGGAGGCTGGTTCCATGGGGTTGAGTTTGAAAGTAACCAAAAGCGATTCTTTGCCCCCCCCTAGACGAGCTTGCGGGTGCTGCCAACGACTCGGACTCGTCTCCCCCACGGGGCCGGGGCCGGGGGCGGTTAGAGAGGGGGCGGATCAAGGTGGGCAGCCACAGCCAATCGGAAGACACCCGCTCGACCTCGTCGCACGGCGCAGACGACGCAGAGAGCACCACGCACGTAAGAGCCCCACTGCCCCCTGTGGATCCTCCCCCCCAGTGCCGAGTGCGTGTCCCTGAACGACTGTCCGTACCCCGCAGCGAGACCGCTCCCCCCTGCGCGGCAGCCTCGGTGACTCCGGCCTGCGCTGCGGATTCTGCCATGCCGGCGAGGACGAGAACGAGAGTCGTGGCGTGTTGCACGTGGACAACGGCAAGAAGGTGGCGGCGCATTACAAGTGCATGGTTGGTCTGCCGGCCGCCCCGCTTACCTACCTCCAGTCCTCCAGATGGCGCTGTTGTATTTCAGGTTGCCTCCAATCTAGAGCCTTTATGCCAGTCTAGATTTAGCAGTCAAGGAATCCACTTCCACCCAACCCTCATTTTTAGTCACCAGTCTTTCCAGTAGGCAACACCCTGAACAAAACCACTGGCAGGTTTTTTTTAGGGGGAAAAAAAACCAATTCACCCTTTGACATCAAGTATTTATTTTGATTCTAGTGTTTATTGGGATCTTATGGAAGCTATTGTTTATGCATGCAGCAAGTTCTCGTTTTGCTGAGCGCAGTGTTATTACCTAGTATGTTTATCGTAAAACATTCCTGTTTTGTTGTATTTATGTTTGATGGGATGCTCCCAGTCCCGCAGTCCCAGTTTCCTCTCTATGTACCGGTGGTATCCATGGTAACCCTAAATAGTCCCCGCTCCCTCCCACCCACTCCTTCCTTTGATCAGATTTACCCTTTCTTTACGCAGTTGTTTTCCTCTGGGACCGTCCAGCTTACCACCACCTCGCGTGCTGAATTTGGGAACTTCGACGTCAAGACGGTCATCCAGGAGATCAAGAGGGGGAAGAGAATGGTAAGGGGCTGCTAGAACTTTCTATAGCAGTGTTCCCCAGTCCAGTCCCACAGACAGTCCACTTTTTTGCCGGTAGGGACCTGGGAGGAGCAAAAATGTGGACTGCTTGGCAGGGAGCTCGGAGAGAGCGAAAACATGGACTGACTGTGGGTTAGGAAACATTGTTCTAGAGGATTGTCTAACTCGATGGTTCATTAAAAGATACAGTGCTGGGTTAGAGTAAAAGCCTACATACATGCTACTCAAACATGCCAGTGAGCGTGAGAATACGGAAGCATAACTCTCATTCGTAGTGTCCTTTCCGAGATGTTTACATGACAAGAATTCTGAGTTGATTGATGCTTCTTTATGCTGAGAAGGTTGTTATGTTTAGCTCAGCTATTTTTGTTGCATCAATTGCGTCGGTAAGGGTGTCTTGGTGGCCCCCTGAGTAGCTCTATTGCCCCACAATTCCAGGGCCGGGGCCACAAGTCCCACTGGCTGTATGTGCGTGTGTGGTGTTTGCATCTTCTCCCTATATTGCACAGAGTTTGGCAAATTGGTATCTCTAAATTGCCTATAACATGCGACATTGTGTGCGTGTGGGTCAAGGTTGGGTGATGGATCATTCTGCTGGTTCTTCACTCCATGCATGTTGTCACCTTATTTGACACTCTGTCTCGCTCCTTTACAGAAATGCACCCTGTGCGGCCAGCTGGGGGCCACCATTGGATGTGAGATTAAGGCCTGCGTGAAGACCTACCACTACCACTGCGGCGTAGAGGACAAGGCCAAGTATATAGAGAACATGGCCAGGGGCATCTACAAGTGAGTGCTGCAGGCCTGCACGATGCCGTTCAGCATCACCACAAATGTGCTCAGTTCAGTAACCACTGGCATCTGTTAGGGCTGCACAATTAATCGTAAAAAAAACCCCGCAATCTTGATTCACACCACTATGCGATCTCATTTCTGAATTACAGCAGTTCTGCATTGTATTACATCAGCTGGATCAAAACAAGCGCTCCTACTTTTCCCCAGAGTATCTCAAGCATCCCGTAATTCTGCTTTCTCTTTAAAGGGTGCTTTCCCAGTGCACCACGTACCTTACTTTCAGTACTTCAAAAAACTACCAAAAGTACGGTACTTCAAGTTTTTCCACTGGCGTAAAAACCCGCAATGAATGACATCACAGTCTGTGGTACAATGGCTGTAGTATATTATAGGGCTGGCCGATGTGCGATATTAATTCCAACATCGCATATTGTGCTGTGCAGTCCTTACTTTGCCAGTCAGCTAGATTAAGATCAGGCTTTTTCTTACTTTCACTTCTGTATACAAACATTATAGTGAAGGGAGTTTAAGATTCACTAAAACATTTGTACTCTGTCACAGGAAAAAAATGATCAAGTTTTGCCATTTTAATTATTATTCCTTTTATAGATTCTTATATTTTTAAAAATCAGTTTAAAGTTTACCTCCGCTGCTTTTGCATGGGTGCTTGCATTCATTCTCTGATACAATCATAATCATTTTCATACTTGCTGTTTAAATCACTTCTAGATGGGTTTTTGAGAAATTTATGAACTCCTTTTTTGTTTTAGAAATACCCTGATATTTATTGTAACAAAATTACATTGCAATACTAAGAAATTTTCCAATACCGTGCTGTCCTAGTATATTATACAAAATACTTTATTTCTTTTTTTGCCATTCTGATCTCTGGTTCTGTTGACCATTGGCCCGTACTATGAAGCGGGGTTACTGGCTTATCGGGGTAACGTGTCGGATTTAAGGTAGTCTGGGCAAAAATGTAAGTGAACGAACATGAAGTCCATTTAAACTGTGGTACCTTAAATCCGACAAGTTACCCCGGTAAGCCAGTAACCCCGCTTCGTAGTACAGGCCACAGATCACAGTTAAAGCTTGGGTCACTTCATTTGTCCATGCATCCATTATTATTATTATTATTATTATTATTATTTAAAATTTATTTTACCTTGTTTACCATTGTTTTCTGAGTTTGCAAAATAGTACCCCACTGGCATTTTTGGTACGGCTGTTTGGGTTGCGCTAATTGAATAGCCAATTCAGCGTTTCCTTTCTGCTGTCAGAGGTTGATATGCCGGTCCTGGATCAATCATATGTCTGGCACAGTCATGTTTTGTTGCAGTTCCTTTTGCAGTATTCCTTGCAAAAAGCTGCAAACTTGCACTTTTGTGTTTTGCCCTAGCACCTACCCTTTCATGAAAATAAAAATGCTGTTTATATAAAATATATCTAGGCTCCTTATTTGATGGTTTCGCTCCCCTTACTAGCTGATGATGTGACTACTCCTCCGATTGGTGCTTCTTAAGATGTTCAGTCTAACAGCACGAGTTTGCTTATTTTGTCCTGAATGTAAAATCACTGAGGTCTGTGACTTTAGACTGCATATTTTTTACATTAAATGTGAAAGAGTATTTGAAACATGGAAACCTTAAACTTGTTTGTTTTCATTACTCTTGAAAAGGTCATATTTTACGTATATATTTCTAAAGAACGTGCCCCCCGTTGGAGTTTGACAGACTTGCTGTACATATCTTGCATTGTATTGAAATTTGCAACTTTGTCTTAATGACCTGATATTATTAACAGTATCCACCAGTCTGGATGCAGCACAGCAGAATTCCACGCACTCCTGAATTGCTTGGGGCCAATAGGATGATGGGAGACCTGAGATTTCACTCAGGGATTTCTGATAGAACTGGGATATGAGATCCATAGCTCTATTTGTGAGCACTCTCTGCTCTCCATGTGCCCAGGCTGTACTGCAAGAATCACAGCGGCAACGAGGAGCGGGACGAAGAAGACGAGGAGAGGGAGTCCCGCAGCCGAGAGAAGGCTGACATGGAGCGGGCTCGCAGCCGGGTCCCGCCCCCACCGCAGGTCAACGGCAACTAGGTACAACCTGCAGGCGGCTCCTGTCGCCACCTTGTTCTGCTGCCCCAGTGGCTCGTGGGAGTCCTACTTACACAAAAATGTTCTGAGGGCAGAACAAAAAGTGATTGGTTGAGAGATATCCAATCAGATGTCTTGGACCCACCTCCTCTACAATCTAATTGGTTATCTCTCTGAACCAATCATTTTTCATTTTGCCTCGGAACATTTTTCTGTAAGCAAAACTCCCATGAGCGCCCCAGTGCTAACGACCGGCGTCTGGCACGTGCCATGGATAACTGACATGGAGTGAATGTATACACCTTTGAAATTTGGTTCTGCATTCAGTGTCGGGGGCACTGCTAGAGAGTTTGGGCCCCATGAAAGATTGAGCCCCCGACCCAAACCAATCCAGTTATGTTTTGGGCTGCTTTGATGGCAGTTGGCTGTAACCATGATCTGACATTTTGAGGATAAATATTGTACTACATTAAGGGGCTTTTCTCCCCTCTCTTTTCACAGATGGCGGAGTAAAAATACAAAAAGGATACGACACCCTGGGAACAAAAGGTGGAAAAGATGAGATATTTTTGTATGTGGTATACTAGCAAAACATGGGGCCTGTTATTTCTCAGTTTGGGTTTGCCCCCCTACCCCCATGAGGATGCACAAGTCACCCCCCCCCAACTTCCCCTGCCCAAAACAGACTGTCAGACCCGCTCATGCCCTCTCGCCCTTGCCATCTCCACCAACCTGTTTTTTGTGCCCGGGCGCACCTCAGTGAGCTCGTTTCATACTTATTAAAAAGAGAGAGAGAGGAAGCGGATAAACGGAGCTGCTTTGCGGATGAGGGCTGGACGCGGGGAAGCCGGAGGGGTGGCGTGTCCGGCGGACGCCCCTCGGAGCCGTCGCTGTGGGCGAACCGCAGAGTCATTCTGCAGGTGACCAGACTGATCAGAGACATCGATTCTAACACTCCTGTGTTCCACACATTTCAGAAAAAAAAGTCACATGACAACACCAGCCTTTATTTACGAAGAAACCAAGATCTTTCCTGGAGTCCATGCTAAGGATGCTGCCTTCTGCGCCTTTCTGTGTTTTCTTCAAAATTATGAAATCAATTCTCGCACTCATTCTATTTTTTTTTTTTAGGAAGGTGTCCTTTTTTGTGAGATTTTTTTTTTCCTCCCCTCTTGAACTGTGTATTATATTTTAATACTGTATTGCTATCATGATTGTAATTGAAAATATGTGGCTTTCTTTGTATTCAGAGTCAGGATTAAAAGTCCTCTGGTAGCATGATCTTTGACTACTTCATATTTTTAACAGCTGAATTTTCATTTTATAGTTTGGTTATTTACTGAATATACTACAACTCGAGAGAACACCTCTCATTCATAGACTGCTAAAATTATCAATTTATATCAAATTTACAGTTGTAACTGCATGTTTTGGTATAAAATCACATATAGAATCTTATTTTAAGTTGAGTTTTGTATTATCCAATAGGGGGCAGTCTCTGCACTGCCTTGACCTTCACTTGTCAAGAATACTGAAATTATCGTTGAAGTAATGGTTTATGCTGGTTATCTGTTACTGACGGAAACTTTCCACATATTATTAAAGAGTCGTTTAACAGGTGCGCTCTACACCACGTTTAAAAAGTGCTTATCATTTTAACTTGCTGAACATAGGCCTACGTAATCCATTTGCCTCCCGAGTGTGTCAGTAAAATAAGAATTATTATGGTGTTGAAGCCCTGTCGCTTTCAAAGACAAGTTATATATGGAGTGTAAACTGTGAAAATGTCAAGTTAAAATATCAATTTTGATAGGTTGGGTTTTGGAAGCAAATAACACCATCGACACGATTATTCAACAAATATGTCTTCATCTAAAGACAGCATGCTTTGGTTTACTTTTTAGACATTTTTTATTTTACAGATGGAACTAAATATTTTACTTAATTCAGCTAATTGGTTACCGCGAATTTGGTTGTCATAAATTACCTTTAATGATCACAGATTACGGGAGACTTTTGTGTAATGCAAGAAATTTAATTATATAATGGTATACATGCACACACACGGGGGGGATTTGATCTGTGCTCTAAAATACAGCATAACGTGTAACTTGTGTCCACCCAGTCATGTCAGCTGCACATGTTGACAGCGGGGTCCGCACTGCGTAATTGCACTCCGCCGTCACAAAGCTGGCCGCTGCACGACGGTGGGCGGCGCTTCACGGCTCGTCATCCTCGATCCTGTGCCGCTACTCCGGCGCAGGGGTGACGGGAGTCTCATTGCAGCGGCACGTCGTCAGTCCGAGGCGAAACTAAAACCGATACGAGTCCCGGGGGGACATACAGTCGGCGGCCGTTACCGAGCAGCACACGGTCACCGACATGGCGACGGACAGTCCCTGCATCGTGGTAAGTTTGCGTTCTGTTTTGCTATAAATAAGCCCTCTGTATATCTCTGGGTATAAAGGGAACTGAGCAATCACCGGATCGGTTCTACTCATTTTTTTCCTTATTTATTTTTTTGGTTTTTATTATTGTTATTCCTTGAAACGACTGTTAAGTCGTTCAGAATGCGACGTACAATTTCTGCTTTCTGTGACCAAGTGACAGAAAAATCTGCACCCGATTCGTCTATTGTTTAGACTAGTCATGTTCCATGTTTTGTTATCATTATTATTTTGTTTAGATAAGGGGCCCGTGCTGAAATACGCGATAGATACGTTTGGTATGAGAAATCGTGGCTGCTGACTGAGTTCCCCGGCAACCGGGCGTTTCTGGAAAATAAACAATGAAAGCATGGGGCGCTATACCGCAAGGGCATCACGGGGCCTGTGCCAGCTTGCCGCACAACAGGTCCTCGTATGTGACACGGATTTCATTCACATGTACATTTTTGTAGTATATAACCCACTTGCTATACTGTTCTTTTTACCGATTTAAAATAGCACAAAATGTCCGTCTATCTAGATATACTGTAAAATGTCCGTGCTGTTACCCTTAAATGTGCATTGGGAATTTGGGAATATTCAGATTTGTCTTAAATTTATAACAATTCAAATCAACGATACATAGGCCGATAAATGCTGCACAGTTCCCATGATTATCTTAAATTTTTAGTTTAGCCCGTTTCTGTCTTGGCAATTTCAAGTGTATGGAGTCCTGTCAAAGAGGATAAAACAATTTCTTTTCCTTATTCATCTGTGCAGACTAATAACTTCGGCAACAAAAACGACATCCAACGCACCGACGACCGCGGTCTACGTAATGTAACGTGTAACATGTTTGGTTGTGGACTTTTATCAAAATGACATTTAATATTCTGTAGTTTCCTTATATTTAATACGCGGTTTAGAGAAACATCTTCCTAAATATATGAAGATTTTTAATGCTGGGATGGAAACAAACATTTTCCGTCAGTTATAGCCGCCCTTTTCGCCCTCAGTACAACCTGAGATTTATTTACCACTTAACTAAATTTCTTTTACTTCTGAGTCGTTCAGTCTAAGCCTGAGCTGGCGCTCTTTTTCCAGTTTATTTTCCAGGGAGGAGTGACAGTAAACCCGGGTCCACAGGCGCTGTAAAGCCGCCGATGCGCGGAGCCCCTCGCGGACTCGATACGATAAGATAGCCGGAGCCCTGTGATCGCATCATGTGGGAGGAGGCGGTGCAGACCATAAATAAAGTGATTTCAAATATGTTTTTCTTTAATTAATGGGGGAGGATATATGTGGCGCTTGACTGTGCGGGTCACGTTTTAAAAGCATCCGATGAGTCGGAACGTGGACGTTTGACTGGCGTGATCGGCGGGACACATCGGTGTTACAACTTCGAGAAGCCTTCCTTAAAGAACAAAGTGCACGGTTCGTTTCCATGTGGATTGAGGTAATGGAAAACAAGAATTTTGTGGTTTCTGTGATTTGCCTGTACCTACATGCCTTTCAGTTTGTCGTGGCTAATGATTATGGATCACCCGGAACGTCACTGGATGAGTGGGTATTAAAATTAGATGGGTGGATGACAACTACGCTAAGCTATTTTCATTCGGGTAATCCATACTAATTACCTGCCCCAGGTAAGGCCTTTTCAGTCCTGCCACGTTTCAGCCTTTGGAGCCTCTGGGCTTGGGCCTCCCTGTCAAAATCTTAGCAAAGGATGTGCTTAATGATACAAGTCCTTAGGTTTTCAGGATTTGTTTTAAACAGCGTATTTCACATGTGCAGGATGTGGCCTGGAAGGGGGCTGAGAGCCATGGACAGAGCAGTTTGCTATGAATAAGGGAGCAACTGGCATCAGGCTCTTCTTCATGACGGCCAGCTGAAACACACGCCCTCAGTGTGCCGGGTTGATTCCTTGAAAGAGGAACCACAGCTTGTGTGGCCCAGAGTCAAAAGAAAAACGGAAGGAAGGCAAATGTGTGCTAAGCCAGTTACGAGAATAACTGCAGTTCATGATAATTATCCTTCTGTTTACTACTCTGTCTAGGTCAGAAGGTCTGGGAACCTAGACATTCTTGTTCACTGGAATCATGCTTTTATATTTACATTTATATTTCCAAAGTGAGGCAAATAGCACATTATAAACATACATACTGTTGACAAGTCAACAATGGTTAAGTGCGGCTAGGCTGAGCTCCCAATGAATGCCTGGTGTACTAATGTAAGCGGTATTGGAGTTGCACAACGTCTAACAAAGCAATAAAAGGCTGTTACAAGGCGTGTTATCAAAATGATCAAGTTCCTCAGCATCAGAGGGCGCTGGTGATGCCATTCTGTCCATTTTAGATCGGAGACGAAGAGCGGGGCTACGACCTGGACCTCTTCTGCATCCCCAAGCACTATGCCAGCGACCTGGAGCGTGTCTACATCCCACACGGCCTCATCCTGGACAGGTGGGTCCCTCACGGTGTGCGCCATGGCCACTGCAGTTCTCCCCACTTTCTGGGTGACTCCACAGTGAATGAAAACCTTGCCCGTCATATTAGGGTCTAAATCAGAGGGTCAGAGGGAAGAAAGAGGACAGGCTGTAAGTGTAGAAGCCTCTTGGTCAGGATGTGCTTCCGATGGGCCACCTAGTCAAATACCAAAAGGAGAAAAGCTTCTTTACCTTTGAACAATAATACCCAAATGCCTTCAGTACACAGTATTTTTCAGTACAGCTTTCGTGCAGAAAGCAGATATTGCAGTGTTTTGAGATTGGACCATGTGACTGAGACTGGACCTTGAAAGCAACAGGTGTTTATATCAAACAGCCAAGGCAGGGGTGGAAGGAGGAAGAATGGAGATTAGATGACCTTGCTCAGCCAGAACTGTGTGAGGTCATGATTAGTCGTGGTCCAGCTCTAAAGCTGAGCAAAAGTGGAGCTGGATGCTTGTTTAGCTGTGCTTCAGAACCGTGGAGGGTTTCTGGAGATGACCCTGGATCCAGAGCTGGACCTATGCATCCAAAAAACAAGGGCAGCCCTATTTTATCTGCAGATGTAACCCAACAACCTGCACCAAGTTGACCACCTTATTTCACCCCCCCCCCCACCACATGAACCTCTAGGACTGAGCGCCTGGCACGGGACATCATGCGTGACATGGGGGGGCACCACATCGTGGCTCTTTGTGTCCTGAAGGGGGGCTACAAGTTCTTTGCCGACTTGCTGGACTACATCAAGGCCCTGAACCGCAACAGCGACCGCTCCATCCCCATGACGGTGGACTTCATCCGGCTCAAGAGTTACTGCGTGAGACTTACCCCCCTCTCTGCCCCCGATGGACCAGTCCATTTCACACGTTACTGGTTGCGTGTAGTTGAAACTTTCAGCGCTGTTACAACACTGGAAAAATGGAAGTCAAGGACAATATTATAGTTACCCAAGTAATTACACTAACGTTTTGTCATTTTGATTAGAGGGCACCACAATATTTTCATAGGCTTAGTTAGAAATATCTAAAACTAATATTTATGCTTCAGCAACAATGTATATTGCCATTTAGAACACTGTTTACTCCCATGCAAATTGTATAATTTGGAAAAACCAGTAATAATATTTCAACATGTAGGATATAAGTCTGTAGAAAAACAGATTGTCTTTCTGGGTTCGTTTTGTAGTCATCTAATTTGATTACATTTGCATCCACCTGACCTTCCTGGCCCAATCAGGTTCTTCAAAGATGAGCACAGAAAGAATATTTGTTTAATTTAGATCAGCAATGCTTCAGCTCAGGCCGTCCTGATGTTATTCCTTCCTCCCTATTTCTCTCCTATGTAGAATGACCAATCCACAGGGGAAATCAAGGTCATCGGCGGGGACGACCTGTCCACACTCACAGGAAAGGTATGTGCCACTTTCGGAGGATTGGAATGGGCAAATGTTTGGTTGTGGGTATTTGACAGACATTTCCAGTCTCTGGGCCCTGAATCAATGGGTGCTGGCACCAGTGTCAAGTCTGCCTCAAAGCATCCATTTACTGAAAATGGGTGTTACTATAGGCGTAAAATATGGGGGGGGGGTAGCAAATCCCCCCCTCCAAATAATTACAAAATCAGAGGAGACCTCAAACCATTGGACATTACACTTATCATATCGATCAATGCGTCTGACTCATTCTCTCTCCCTCTCGTAATCTGGATGCAGAACGTCTTGATAGTGGAGGTAAGTCTGTAGAAGCCATCCCATCCTTTTTCCCATTTCCTTCTGGACTAAGCCTGGCTCTCAGAGGTCCTCTCAGATGCTCTCTTCCTGTCCCTTTTTCCCAGGACATCATTGACACAGGAAAGACCATGAAGACCCTGTTGCAGCTCCTCAAACAGTACAATCCGAAAATGGTCAAAGTGGTCAGGTGAGGTGGTGGGGACACACCTGGTACGGAGGCCCAGGCTGGTCTGGTTCGGTTCGGTCCAGTTCAGCACACTTAACTGCTACACAGCATCTTTCGATCCCTCGGTAGATCTTTTTTTTGTCAAGTGGTATTTTGAAATGTTTCAGGCAGATCTGAAATAAAATGAGTAACGAGTAAGTGTGTAAGGTCACATTAACACATGGAATAAATTTCCCAGGAAGGCAGAAGTAACTGCAATTCCCAGCACTAGGGGGTGCAGTGGCTAAAGAGCTGTTAAAATCTCAGGATGGAGTTCTGAGGCATTCCTAAGGAAATCGAGCATGAAATTGTGAGCACTGACTTCACATGAGTGCTCACAATGCAAATGAATAAGACACAGCACTGCACTAGATGGTGACCCTGACACCCTCAGGTCGATTAAAGCCGGGTGTTTGGCCAGGTTCACTGCGTCCCCTGCTGCTGTTCTCCGCACTGAGCTCCCTGCACCCTTCCCCCACCCCTCCACTCAGGTTCCCGTCTCCCTTCTCCACAGCCTGTTGGTGAAGCGGACAGAGAGGAGCGTGGGCTACCGGCCGGACTGTGAGTACGCGGCATGCCAGACAGCCCTCTGGAGGGACCGGTGAGGTCCTCATGGTGTGGTTTCCCAAGCTGTGCCCGCGTCTTCGCGTTTTTATAAGGTCACGATAAACACTGCAGCTTCCGCTTGGCATCCTCAAGACATGCTGTTGGCTACAAAACGAAGGGTCTTAAAATGTCCAAACTACAGTGTCTCCCATGCTAACCCTCCATCCTGTTCATAACGGACTCTGGCATATCAGAGACACCAAGGAAACAAAGAAACTAGGTTGGAATGTGGGCTGACAAAATGGATGACTGGGAAACACCCACTACTCAACATTCAGTGATGAAATCGTAAAGTTACTGACAAAGCCAGTTTCACAAAGTGACCACAAGGTGGTGCTGTTGCTTTTTAGAAACTTGAGTGCAGTTCTTATTTGACAAAGCTTTTCTCCCCCTCAGTTATAGGATTTGAGGTACCGGACATATTTGTGGTGGGGTACGCGTTAGACTACAATGAGTACTTCAGAGATTTAAATGTAAGTATAGAGATGCCATAACACGCTTTGATAAACAACTTTATTTGCCAATTTCATAAACTGGAATATTACAAGTCTTTCACATGTAACATTAGACAGCATGCAACAGGCTGCACTGGAAAAACACAGACCTGACTGCTCACACATTACAGTTTTAAAGTACAAACTCTGTTTCAACAGCAGGGGGTGCTAGTCTTAAACCTTCATGTCTTACAGCACATCTGTGTCATCAGCGAGAAGGGGAAGGAGAAGTACAAAGAGTGAAGCCGTCCTCTTCCGTTGCTTCTCCACCAAGCACCATCTTTCACAGTTTGCTTTAATAGAAAATAAATTAAACGCCTAAGTTGGACGATAGCAGGTTTCTCAAGGTACCGGGCAACACACTCTCACCGCGACCTGACGGCTGAACTGAAAATGGCCTGTTTTGTACTTTCTGCCCCATGGCCACCGAAGCCTCGGATCAGCGAATGCTAATGCAGTCAAACTCGCCTTGGAGATGGCAGGAGGCCAGGGGTAGGGAGGGGTCTCCTCATGTAATAAGCAGGACAGCAATACTCCATGTCTATTACTGTCACTGGAGTAAATGGCCCATGCAGATCTCAATGCAGTAAAACCACAATATTAATCAGTGTTTGACCCATGGATCTCAGACATTGAGATATTGCAAACTTTGCTGTGTATTCTTTTTTTTCCTTCAAAAATGTTTTTTCTTCTAAAACTTCCACAATCATTTTAATTTCTGTCTGAAATCTATTTGAAGTGCCGTGAGCCTCACGTCCGATTATTATGGACTGTAAATACAATACGCCAACAAGCTCCGGAGCTATCCAGGCCTAGAGCAGCAGAAATCTTCCTGTGGGTGTGTGTCGTTCTGCTGTTTGATCTGAAGCGATTCACCCTAGACACAGAAAGTCAGCTCACCATCCACAACCAAGTAATCGGGAAAAAAAAAAGGCACCCACCGGAGGGGGGGGCGACTTCCTGTCCATGTCTGGCACATGTCTGGGTGGGTTTAGCCAGCTGTCCATTTTAACATGCGTGTCCACGAAAGATAGCAGACACTGGAGTGCCTTAACGTCACGGCAACACAAAATGCGTGTTTAAGCAGCAAACCGGACCCTCAATAAGAATTTTCTTTTTAGGAAATGCTTTTTTAAAACTTTTTTTGACAACTCAAGCAAAGATATAAGTTATTAAAAATTATTAATATTGCTCTGTACATTTTCTGGATTGGGGTGGGGGGGGACATAGCATAGATGCTAATCTGAGATTGCTGGACCTTATATCCACTTTGATGAGCAAGCACACGTGTGTGTGTGTGGGTTGATGTTCAAAAGCTTTTTGTTAAAATGTGTCACCCTATTCTGGGTAAGTAAATTGTGTGTACCACATGACAGTCCGTATGCAGTCCAAAGATGTAAATTATGTGGGCAAGGATAGCACTTTTTTTTGTCAAAAGCTGTGTGAAGATGTTCAGTTCTAGGGGAAAAGGAAATGTAGCATGTTTTACTTTAAGGTAACCGGCTTGGGGCTTCCTTTTAGACACTGAATTATATATCCTCCACTTCTCCTGCAGGGGGCGTCAGTGCTCTCATACCTGTCCCCATGTCTATCAAACTTCCTGTTTTTCCCACTCATCAACACAGCAACAGCAATGTACTCTTTACAATATGTGTACTGCTGTTAACATATGTTTGTGCTGGATCATGGCACCTCAATAAATATTTAATTTAAAAACTTCAGAGCAACTTTATTCTTATCGTATCTCATCCATACACCATTAGACTGCCTGCATGACTGAAAATATGAACACACTCTTATCAGGGTGTATCACGCTTGCAGTTCCAACACTTTATTCACACAAACACAAATTATTCTGGCACCAGTCCAACTAGCAGCTTGTTGTTCAAATGGTCCTTACTGGAGCAGAACACTAACTACTGGACACTCATCAGAAGTCAGCTCCAGTATTTACGTGCTGCTACGGTACGGTCCACAGATACGCATCCATGTCACACCGAAGGACCGAGGGGTGGGTGGGCAGTCACCGGAACCCGAGCGGCAGCTCCTCGTGGCCTGCATCTCCATGCCACAGCAAACCACGACGTGCTGCTACGCAGGCCTCCAGTCACCGAGTGGAGTTCCTCCGCAGCTGGACGACCCAGCATGAATACGGAGATCGAAGGACTATTTTCCCTCTTCATTATAAACCTTAATGACTTCCTGTTTATCAAGTTTCATTAAGCATTGCTCTTCTGAATTTGTTTCTATAATTTATCACACATTTATCATACATTTTTATTTACATTTTAGCTCTATAAAGCTTTATTAAAGAATGCAATTTTCCCTACAAAAAGTATTTTTTATTTCACACCTGTTTACATCATTCAGTGCTTCTGTATCTTATGGTTGGACATTCATAACTATTCTGTGTCTAGATGTGCTTGTTTATTCACCAAGGACAAGTTCAGACTCCATATTAAACCAATGCATGATTAAACAGATAAAGCTAGTCTGACCACAGTAAGTTCTCAACTCTGCCCATGCCAGCAATAAACTGCTCGGTCCAAGCATGGTCATGTGCACAACATGGGCACAACTGATTTTGGAAAAGCTATTTGTGAATTTGTAGAAGAGAGCCAGACAGCCTCACCCTCAGGCCTCCGTGATGTGGGTCACCTGCAGTTTGAGCCTGGACAGTCACGGGAATCAGTGAAACAAGTCCAGTCTCAGTCGCACTTAGGCTTCTCTTTTTTTCCACTAAGCCTTACGGTCGACTGTGAAAAACTTCCCTTTTTCTTATTTTGTAAAACGCCCAGCACTTACAGGCAGAGCCGAGAAGTTCTCCATTTCAAGAAGAAGAAAAAAAAAAAAACAACAGGGGTAATGTGTTCACACTGCCACGCCACAAAATATGGGTCACGCATCAGTGTCACCTTACAAAGCTTGAGTAATTGAGTCTCCTTAATGTGTGAGGGATGAACAACCTTAAGTCCCCGTCCAGGAGCTTCGTTACGTACCAAATCCCGGTGACAGTGGTCGGCGTACGTTGGGTCTCATTTCAGCTCAACTCTTCCTGAGTTTTAAAAAAAAGTACCTCTGCAGAAATCTACATTTGACCACATAAGAGGAATGAAAACCGTACTATCATACTATTGCTACTATTCAATAAAGGAATTTATTTAATACCATTTAATAAGAAGAATAAATTTGATCAAGTCAATATTTCTAATATATCCCATAATCAGCGTTGCAGGCAGTGTGGCAGGTTACCGGCGGCGTTTAGCTCGACTCCTTTCCCCCCCTAAGGGAAACACCATCAGATTGTCATCACTCATCAGCTGGTTGATTCTCTGATATCAGCAACCCAAGTGTGTCTTACATGACATTATATCATCATCTTGGAAATAGGCCCACTGGTAAATATCAATAATTACAGATTTGTCTAAAGTGTTAAGGCTAAAAGCCATTAACACTAGGAACACAAGCTGGAAGCTTCCAGACTCCACCCAAAGTCGTAAATTACAAGCTAACTGCTGCAGTGTCATGCCACCTCCCTATCTGAACCCCACGCATGTCCTGCGGGGTGGGGGGTGGGCACTCAGCCTGCCTGTAACTGGTACGAACCCCCCAAATAGGCATCCATCTCGGGAGTCAAAGCCAAATTCACACACCTCATTAAGCATCCGCCTGTAATAAAACACAACTTTTCACACGCTTAAAAATATAACTTTTGCTTTGCTGTTTCGGGGCGTGAAACATTCATAATTTCAGATACACGGATGCAGCTGTAATTTCCGCACTGAATCTTTATATCCACGCACTTCTGACTTTCATCAGCACACTGATGTTTACCAGTAACGTTTTACATCCTTTAACAGCTTCGGTATTTGCAAAATTTTGGGAAACCCTGGCTGGGCACAAATGTTTTGGCAAGTTTTGGTGCCAGGCAAGCACTAGCATCATGCTCGCGCGGTCATAAAAGTTTTGGAGGACGAGGGTGGATAGGAGTGCGGGGGTCGAGGGCTCCCCTACAGGTCAGTGGAGGAACAGCAGGAGTGGGTTGAAACGGCAATTACGATACGAAGTAGGCCTTACCTTTGTGCAGGCCTCAACTTGTCTGCTCAGCACTCCTCATTTGACAACGGTGGCTATTAAAGTGTAAACAAAAAGGCAAAAAAGTTCAATGGGTTCAAATTAATGAAAGGCTATTTCCTCTAATCGACTTAGTTAGAGGGTTATTCACTTAAGCCGTGAAATTTCTAAACTAAATATATATATATATATGGAATTTCGACGCTTCAGATGGTGACGTTTAGTTCACTTCAGAAGTTCAGAACAAAACCAATTTTAAAATAATTTTGGATACCCGGTAAACGCCCATGCATTTAAAAAGCAGAAGGGGGAAATAGAGGCGAGGCGACCTTGACGCGCGCAAAGGCGTGACAAGCTGCCCCGGCTCGCAACATGACGGGACAGATCCCTGATCCCAAATGGCACTTCGTACTCGAAATATCGCCCCTTCTACTGTTCGCCCACTCAGCACTTAGGCACAATCATGGAAAATGACATAAGTTCCTCCTCCCTTTCCTCTGAGCCCCAATATACAATCAAATGTTTATTTTGTGCGAATCGTATGACACGTCGCAATTTCTTATACTGCTTTTTATACATTTCGTGACAACTCACACGACTGGGACACACCGGTGCGTGTATTTCTATAAATGGGAAAGGCTGAATGACTTTCCCCCGAATAGATAAATCTATTACATATCTAATTCTGCGTTAAGGACATAACTCATAGTCACACAAATTCACTCAATAAAAAGTACCAATAAAACCAAAACGACGTACTACTTTTAAAGCACACGGCGTTAATTATTTGCCCGTATTCTGTATATAAAGTACACATCTCCCTAAAGTTTCACATTCATTTGACTATTTAACGTGTCATCTGATAAAAAAGTCAGATAAAGCGGAATTACCCAAGCCCACGTATATATAATCGTCACAGATGCGTTAAAACAGACTTTTCTTAAATTATTTAACTTAAAATTTACTTAAGCAAACGTTTATTTGTGTCTTTGATTAAATGTCCGGCTCTTTACAAAGGCTTATGTTCCTGAGAAACCAGTTGAAAATACAAGACAAAAAAACGTTTTGAGAGCTATAGTTCCTCCTTGGTTTGCAGTCGTTTCGCTGTTAATCAACGCGATCCCAGCTGCAATTCAAATAAAATATCATCAACATCGGAAGCGCTAAAACTGCCCTGTACGTGTACGATCAAACTTATTTAAAAACTTTTATTTCAATGCGCACCGTCGCCCGACGCTCTCCGGTTTAATTCAATTCCCTTTAAAAAAAATAAAAGGCACCGTGTAAACGGATAAGATACTACAAAATAAGCGACCAAGGCGTAACCAGTAGAGTAAAGCAGTCAGGAAATACAATAACTATTTTTGGGATCTCATAATCATTGAAATTGTTGGAAGAAGTGAATAGAGTGAGAACCACCGAAGGGAGAAAAAAAACCATGAAAAATAATTCCTAAAAAATCCGAACTTACCTCCAGTCCAATCGAAAATGGCGCCGAAACGTAAAAAAAACGTCTTAGATTTCATTGTAGGGTCTTTTGCAAAGCTTTGTGGGAGCACGAGCGAAACAACGCTCCCTCGCCTCGCTTACATACAGTGTTGCAATCCCTTTACACACAATATATGCACAATGGTGCACATTATTAATAACCTGTTTGATGCATTTTGTCAGCTCGCTGTATTTTGCTTTTGTATCGACATAACACCAGATTTATGTGGACAAAGCGGGTTGTCCAACGCTGCTTTACGTCGCACCGAAGTTTCTCGAGTCGGAAATAACACGAAACTTTACAAATCCATATATGTATATGTTATTATTCGAAAGAAATTCCCTAAATCGGGATTTATAAATACAGTTTACACGTTTTATATTTATAATATTTGTTTTCGTAAGCTTTTTTTCTCATAATGTACACAAAACCATAAAACTGTTTTAGGGATCTTTGTGTCGGGAAAACATGAGTTGTATTTTATGTAGTTGAATTAATGGACGTGAGGTTTACTAAGACATTAATATATAAACGTAAAAATAAGACACGTATGCCCGGCGTGTAAGAGTACAAACACGGCCAACGTGACTCGATCCTAGCTTCCCCGTCATGACATGTTGTAATTGCCGTCGAATTCGCTGCAGATTTATGATGCACTGCTGTCTCGTACAAACGTAACACCCTCCGTATTTTACCACTGAACTGTAAATAACGCATATAAGTACTCAACTGTGAGTCTTTGCAGAGCGTTTTACCATCAACTGTTGACAGGGACTGAAAGTGAAAATTAAAATCTCCCGCCCGCCTGGCCACTTTACTACCATGGAAAATAAACACATACACAACACTCACGATATTTGATATGCATGTAATAAGATGCACAATATTTAACTAAAATAAAATTTCTTAAATAAACGTTGTTTTAATTAAAAGTAAAAAGCAGCTTCTCAGTTTCGGTATCAGACTGTTTTAAGTAGCGAGAGAATGTTTATCAGTGATGGTTCACTGTAAAAAAATAATAGCTGCGTTTTTAAACCAGTAAATGAATGTATTCAGGTATTTAAAGTATTTTTACTGTAAAACACTAGGCATTATGGAAACTTTTGTTGCTTTCAACGTATTTACAGCCGTGTAACAGGGAAATTCAACGCATTCCTGGATTTGACTTTTGACAAATCGATCGCCACTTCTCCAATAACTACTGCTGAAATTAAATGAAAATATACGTTTTTCTACGCCATTTTTGTAAATATAATATGCTTAATTTGAAGCCAAATTAATGACGTATAACCTGTAGTTTGTCTCTATCATATATATACTAGGTTATTTGAAGTGTTTATGTCAGTATCGAGTATTTAGAATTATTGTTTCAGATTGTATTTTACGTTTTTTTTGCTTTTGGTGCTGGCTTAGACATTCACTATCTCGTTTCAGAAACGTTTTATCTGCTGTGTCATATAAGAGAAACTTATTTGTATTCGATAATTATAAAATAAGCGTTACAAACATATATCTGTTTTAAATTAACAGGTGCTGATTGACAGCATTGTTTTGGTGGGGGAGGAGACAGGAGGGTTAGGCAGACATGATGGGCAGGACGTTTAAGTAGCACCCCCGCCCACCCAAAGAGACCAAGTGACAGGGCAGACACGTGGAGACAGATGGGACACCAGGCAGGACAGGACAAACAGCATAACAAGGGGCACCAAAGAAGCAGGGATCGTACCAGGGACCAACAGGACAACAGGAGAGACTAAGGAACAGAGCCACACGGACAAAACAGATGAGACTCAGGACATGACCAAACACCAGGGACTAACATCAGACCTAAACAAGGACCAGGGAGCACAAGAGACAAGCAGGCAGGACAGGCCACACTAAAACAGGGTGGACAAATAAAGGGGCAACAGAGACACAAGTAAAAACAGAAGAGGAAGCCATTGGGGACACAGACTAAGAAAAACCGAAGGCAGAACAGGGCTGACCGCACCAGGACTTTTGACTGGGTTGGTATGAACGTTGGGCTGAGGTGGGGGCTCACAGAGCAGGACTTAGGGGAAAGCCCAAAGGGTCCCACTCCAAATCCCCTGGTTAGACATTACCAGGAACAACCCAACTCAGCTTGGCACCTGGGCGACGACTGGTGATAGGGCTGGAGGTGGTGGGACATCAGGAGACGGGGCAAAGCCGATACATCTGGATCCTCCAGACCGTGGGATTAGTCCTCAGATTCAGGGTGGTGTTCTGGATGGAAAACAAGTCCTCCAGTTGAAGACGACGCAGCCCCCATGCCGCTGGCAACCCCAGAGACCTTTGAATCCGAGGCACTCGGGGTGTCTGGTCTGCTGGGTGTAGGGAGGCATGAAAGCTGGAGCGGAAGTACATGCTACTGGGGTTGTTTGAGAGTCGACTTCAATGACCGGACAAACGAAGACGGAACAAACGGGTACTTTATACATAGACTAATAAAGGGCAACAAGCATCAGACATCAAACAGCATGACAAATAAAATACCTTTGAATATTATGATTTTGCACAAGTAGTTCTATGACTAGTATATTGCAATGGCCAAAGAGATGTGTCCTGTTGCCAACGAGCTTCATAGTAAGAATCACAGACATCTTCCCAACTCCCTGTTTAAGTGTGTTATATGGGGGTGTAGCCGCTCATTTGTAAAATTTACAGCATTTAAGGCACACTTGCATAGAGACCACAAAGCATATAGACCGTCAAACAAGTCCTCCATTACTTTGAATGGTGTGGCACTATTATGTCATGTTGTATACTGCAGCATCAGATGTGAGAGTTTCATTGGTTTATTTTCTCATTTAAAGTCATACTAAAGAGGGTAGGAGCCCCCCCCCCCCCCCAGGCTGACACAAGGTCCACCCTCCAGAAATGGCTGTCTGTCTGCTTCAGCCAGGTGTTATGTGGGCATCCTCTTGCCCTGGTCCAGCTGCACAGGTCCTCAGCAGTGAGTAGATACCCTCTGGGAATCGCGCCACATGGCCGTAGTGCTATAACTGACACTCCCTCACAATGCAGGTAATGTGCCTCATTCAGGACTCCCTGAGCAACCACGGATTCAACACAAAGTCAAAGACACACAGTACCAAAGGAGTGGAGTCTTCGTCTTAGGTCACTGGATAGCAGCCATGTCTCGCAGTCAAACAGCAAAAGACTATACATACTTTGGTCAGGATTTAGTGTTTGATGCACTAATTACAGATCTCAAAGACCTAGAAGACATTGGAATTGATTGTGGGGGGCATGTGTTCAAAGCCAGTGTGTTTGCAATTGCAGGTGACAATCTTAGCTCACACAGCATAGGAGGGTTTGCTGAGAATTTCAGCAAGACCTCACATTTTTGCCAGTTTTGTGAAATTGACAGACACGTTTTTATGTTCATCACGTAAGAGTCATACATCATGCATTTACAAGATATAGAACCTGGACAAGCAAAATGTGGGGTCAAATTTACATACATTCATGTTTGTCAGTCTGGTTTGCCACCTTGCAATGATCATGACCTGTTCGAAGGTGTAGTGTCTACTCGTCTAGTGTTGTTGAGTCATCTTGTCAGTGAAGGGAAACATTTCACTTATTCAGATCTGAATCAATGGATGAATCAATTTCAGTGTCTTGGAAATGACAGGAATGACAAACCTTTAGAGGTAGTTGCAGGCAGTGGAAAGCTGGGAGGGAATGCTGTACTGAACTGGTGCTTTTTGAGGCTATTGCCCTTGCTTATTGGTGACAAGATTGATTCTTCTGCTGATAATGAGGTCTGCCAGCTTATCTCATATGACCATTTTTTTCAGAAAGGTTAACTTTCCTGGTCTTCCCATTGTTTCAGTGACCATGCTAGGCTGATTGTTCGCTTTGGTCCACTTCTATGTGTTTTGACTCTACGGTTTGAGAGCAAGCACTCTTATTTTAAGCGATGCTCAAGAAGATTGCAGAATTTCAAGAATTTGTGTGGAACGCTAGCAGAGCATCACCAACTCTTACAAGCGTGCACAAGCTGCTTTCCACCATTGATTGCAATTTTAAAGGCAACAGAGGTTTCCCATGATGATTATTGTGAAATGATTATGCAGCCAGTTGGCAGTTTCAATCTCCAACCTGAGAATACTGTTGCAGCAAATGCGGACACTCTCAAGGGCACAAATTACAAAAAGAACATGTATATCATTATTGCTAAAGCGGATGAGATTATTATACTTAGTAGAGTCAAGCTTGGAAGATGGTGGCGCAGGAGGTAGTGCTCTCATTCAGCAATCGGAGGGTTGCAGGTTTGAGCCTGGGTTCCTCCTGACCCCATCAAAGTGTCTTTGAGCAAGACACTGAACCCCAAATTGCTCCCACTGTGCAGGTTGGTACCTTGCATGGCAGCCTTTGCCTCCAGTGCATGGATGGGTGAATGTGAGGCATGTATTGTAAAGTGCTTTGAGTAGAAAAGTGCTATATGAATGCAGTCCATTACCATTTGTGCTTGTTCAGAACAATCTGGATGTTTACTTCATCGGTGAAAAGTGCTCACTGTCTGAATTCCTCGCCACATTGTCCCCACCGGGCATGTGTTAAGTAAGAAGATTTGATAGATCGCTATCCTCTTCCTGAAAACACTGTCAACATTATGCCACTCTTTCCTTGTAGATGTCCAACCCAAGTGAAGAGATTAGGGCAGCTATTACAGCCACGTTACCAAATGTCCCACCAGAAACTGTAGAGCAGATTATGAAACTAATTAGTCAAGGAGTGGAAAGTAAATTAGACCTTCTTTTTGTAAATGAAGAGAACCTTTTAGATCACCTAAGATCCATTCAGTGCCCCAAGCTTCCTGCCTGGTAAGGTAAGGTAAAATCAGACAACATAACATTTTGTTCTGACTAAGCATGTAGTTGTCACAAAAAACGTGAGTAAATTTTCTTTTTGAATTGCCAGTTTATTAATAAATGACTTGCATGCTTGTATACAATGCAACAGAAATAAATGTCCTCTCTGCAATATCAGTGTTTTATTCTACAATGCAGATGCAGAAAGTAAAATTGACCACCAACAAGAGAATTTACCTTCACCGGAGCTGGCTCTTCTTATAGCTGCAGGTCATCCTCATCAGCAGGCAGACATTGGACTGAGACCTGTGAGATTCACTGGGAGAAGATGTCTGTGGATTTGCAATCAGCAGTGGACAACAAGAAAAGGTCATCACCTGCA